GTGTAGCAGACCAGCCCCACGATTGTTGGACGGTGGGAGGAAGGAGGAACAGTCCATTAAAGTGGACGAGCACTTGGGATATGAGTATACAAGAACAGATACAGGCCTAAAGCAAATGACAACTGCATTATAACCACAAATTATTCCCAAATATAATACAGCACAGTAAAATATAACGAGATGACTAGTCAGATATCACATATAAGCACAACCGTAATCAGTACATGTACAATGCAAAATACAAAGTATATTTAAATAAAACAGTCGTATACGTTGTGCCCCAAAAGTTACACAACATCTTTGACAAAAGATCATATAAAATTACCTATAACTACTGAAAGTTACCTTTCCCAAAGACTTACAAGAGGAGCATGTCCATTTCGAAAGAAAGAAGAGAGTTTTAGTATGGCTCTAACACTATGATTCGAAACCCACAGAATTAGAGCACGTGAAGCGCCAGAAAGTAAAAACTTTATGTTAATACGGGCGATTCACAATAGTACGTCTCCAAGAGTTTGCAACCCGTTGACCAATCACAGAGCGCGAAATCTGTCGACCCTTTCCAAATACGCATTGGGTCGACAGATTTCGTGCACCGTGATTGGTCATTGCGTTGCACACTCTTGGAGGCGCACTTTTGAGAAACGCCCGTATTGCCTCCGCGAAATGCGTATGTAAAAGGGTATTGGAAGGATGAGGGCGCCGTTACTGCTGTCGTATTAATTAAGAAAACTTAAAAGTATCAGACTCACAGGAACAATTAGCGTAAATCCCAGGGAATGGGGGGTTTAACCCCCTAGAGCTTGGGCTTGAATAACAACAGCCTGATTTTAGTCTGTGTTGGCACCAATCTATATTTAAAATCAAACGTTCAATGCTGCAGCTGTATAACCAAAGTTACAGGCTCCGCGGCTTCAGTTTTTCCAATAGTTATTTTGAAATCAAAACAAAATTATGTTTAACTCCTCTTTCAAAACGTAGGAGTTAAAATGATTTGATTATGACTTGTATCATAACAAGCACAAATGTAGCTTTGACTGAATAATTGGCAGTCTCTCAACTCTTGAGTGATACCAATTAATTAATTAATTTCAAAAATTGATATAGATCCCATGAGGTAATCATGTTATTATAACATTTCTGCTAGGTACACACAGGATGCATTGTTTTAGTATTCAATTAGGTCAACAGTCCCTAATATGATGTGAATACGTACAGATGCATCGTTTGGACATAAAATGTATTGAAAAGTATAAAATTGTTGCCTCACCAAAGCAAGATGCACTATTTTCACATGAAACATGTAAATATTTTCTGGAATAAACGTAGAGTAAACCAGCCATCTTGAAAAGATGAAATTTTACGACTATAAGTGCGTGTGAAGTACAAATGGAGCATGCAGCGCCCACAAGCGTGCTTCCCGACCAAACAGAGCGCAGCGATGGAAGACCTCGACCGTGTGCGAGCAACGTACTTAAATACCTACGCCAGGTACCAACTCCCTACGCGATTCGCATGCAGCACTATCAACCTGATCCCGCGTACCAGTTGTACATAGACTTTAAAAAGTCTTACCATACAATTAACTGTTCTGCGACAAAAAAAGAAGCAACAAATATAACTGCATGATCCTCCTAGTTACTTCTGTTCAGTAAGCGCGTCAAATTTGGGATGGCACTTTTACCGTATCTGTCAACCAGGAATTTTGTTTCGCAGTAGGAATGTCCAAGAGGGGTTCTCATGTTGCGACTAGATGTGTTTTTGATAAACCAGTTCAGATGCTCTAACTCAAGCAAGATTTGGCAAAGGTTAAACACAGTTCCTTTCGTCTTTAATTTAGTGTCGTGATTCAGCAACAGAACTTTCATAATTAGTGAAACTGGGACCTAAGATGATTTTCAAGGCCCTTTTTAAAATTCTTTCAATGGACAAAGTCTTACTGGTAGTAAGGCCCCAATAGCAGACAGGGCCAGCGTACTCAAGGATTGGACGAACTTTTTTTTTAAAATGATTACCAAGTCTTGTTTTGGTCTTGTTTTTTCTCAAATCGTCCCAAAATATGAAGCTGCTTACTGCCCTTAGAAACCATCTGCTGAATACAGGTATTCCATTTTAAGTTGTTCTAGATCTGGATCCAGACACCAAACAATTTTGTTTCATTTACAACTTCAAGGATACTGTCATTGATACACAAAGAAGGTTGTTCAAGTTGGTTCTTCCAAAATGAAATTGCATTAATTTACATTTAAATGGATTCATTTTAAGTTATTTGAAATAGACAAGATATTTAGATTTGTAACACCATTCGGAATGGAGGAAACCCGATCTAATATCCTGACTTCTCCTAAGTGTATGTCATTCACATGTTTCCAATTGTGACAGCGAATCTTTGCACGTGTCATTAACCATAAAGCCAAAAAGACAATCTG